TTTAACCCGGCACCTGCCACGTGGGGTACTACCAGCACCCCATAACACATTTTCACCAAATATTTCGTATTTCAAGTTTTGCAACACTGCTGCGCGTCATAGTAGCTTTCTATAATATTGTACAGCATAGATCTATTTGAGTTTGAAGTGGTTATTTAGTGGCATTCTGACCTTGTAGCTATAAAGTCGACTGGAGTGTCATCAGATCCCCATCTGGCAGTTTAAGTTTTAAATTTTTTTTTGTGTTTTTGATAAACAGGTTGGTATATTTACAGTTTTTATTGCAATAACTGATTTAAATTATTATATAGGCTGTATACTAAATAAATATTATTTTTTTTAGATATTTTACTTCACGCCCAATTTATTATGGCTTGGTACGAACAGGAACAAAACCGCTTGAGAGCTCTTCTAGAAGAGATGGAACAAGATGATATAGCAGAGATTGAGGATTCATCTGATTCTGAAGTAGATGCTACCCAGTTTAGCGACCACAATTCGGATTCAGAAATGTCAGCAGCTTCGGACGGCGAAGAATCTGTTTTAGATGCAAATACTGTTGTAGGTAAGGATGGGACTACAAAATGGAGAACTACAAGGGGGAATAGAAATGTTCGTACAAGATCGCAGAACCTTGTTGTTCATTTACCTGGTGTAAAACAGTGTGCAAAAAATTGTAAGACAATTTTGGAATGTTGGAACTTGCTCATAGATGAAAATATTCTTGAAATAATATTAAATTCTACAAACAAAAAACTTCAACAACAAACCGGTGATAAAAAAAAGCATAGTTATGAAACATGCATGGCTGAACTGAAGGCGCTGTTTGGTTTACTATATATTGCTGGGTCTATTCGTTCTAGACGTCAGAACATGGAGGATTTATGGTCAGAAGGTAGAGTGGGCATAGGCATTTTTAGAACAACAATGAGTCTCCATAGGTACTTCATGCTAATAAAATGCCTTCGATTTGACGACATAGACACACGCAGTGAAAGACGTAAAATTGACAAACTTGCTCCAATCCGTGATGTTTTTACAATTTTTCAAAATAACTGTGTAAACGTATATTCCATATCTGAATACTGCACTATTGATGAACAGCTGGTTTCTTTTAGAGGACGATGTTCATTTCGGCAATATATACCGAGTAAGCCAGCTAAGTATGGCATAAAAATATTTAGTATTGCCGATGCCAAAACATGGTACTCATTGACATTTGAAATATACGTAGGCCAACAACCTGAAGGACCTTATGCGGTATCAAACAGTGCAAATAACATAGTTATGCGGCTATCTAAGCCAATTTGGAATTCTGGTCGCAACATTACTGGAGATAATTGGTTCACAAGTGTTCCACTTGCCGTAGAATTGCTACAAAAGAAATTGACGTATGTCGGAACTATGCGTAAAAATAAAAGGGAGATACCTAAACAGTTTGTGGAAATTAAAAGAAGACCACTCAAAAGTTCAGAATTTGCATTTACCGACAATATGACAATTTTATCTTATATACCTAAGAGAAATAAAAATGTAATGATGTTATCGTCAATGCATTTAGAAGACGATTCTATTGATGAGAGCACAGGAGATAAGAATCTTCCAAATATAATTACATTTTACAACCAAACCAAGTCCGGCGTGGACAAGGTGGATGAGCTATGCGGTTCATATTCCACTGCCAGAACATGTCGAAGATGGCCATGTGTTGTATTTTTTAGAATGCTCGACATAGCTGGCATCAATAGCCACGTTATCCACACTGCGAATAATATTAACAACAAAACAATTGAACGGAGGATTTACCTGCAGGACTTAGGGTTCGATCTTGTGAAAGATTGGTTGAAAGTCAGATCAGCTAACTCACACATTCCGCGTACAATACGTGAGAAGGCAATAAAATATATTGGAGGCTCTACTGAATCAAACGAAACAACAGAACCGCCCAGAAAAAAGGCAAGGTGCTCTATTTGTCCAAGGAAAGATGACAAAAAAACAAACTTTTTCTGCGAAAAATGTTACCAACAGATGTGCCTAAATCACATGAAACATATTTGTGAAAAGTGTTTTAACCAAAAGGAAGAAGAACAAGAATCCGATGATAGCTGCTAATGAGTTTTACTTAATTTGTTTATAATAACTTTTTAGTTTTATTTTTTAACTTTTATAATATTAGTAGGTGTTAATAAAACATGTTTTTTTTATATTTTTGTATTACTCAGCCTATTATTTTGTTTATAAACACGTAGATCACAGAAAAGTTTTAAGGGGTACTATGAGCACCCCACGTGGCAGTTGACGTTTTGCAAAGCCACGTGGCAGGTGCCTGGGGTTAACATTCTTTCGGATAAAACATTTTCATCATGCTCCTGCAGTTCATCATTCAAATCTACAAACAATTTCTGCAACTTCGCAACATGTGTACTAATATCTTCTTTTTCATCATGTTGGACTCTAAAAAAGGCTTCAATTAACATGTTAAACCGTTGCGTACTGCTACGTTCAAATCTCACACGCAATTTGTCCCATATTTCACTAGCGTGAGTATACGCCAACACGAGCTCGGCAACAGTTTTTCCTAGCGTACCTGCTAACAAACTTGTCGCTTTCGCATCGTCTTTTAACCATTGCTGATGCTTCTGTATTTCCACCGAAGTTGAATCTTCACTAACCTCAGGACACTTACACATACCGTTTACAATGTCTTCAAGTGCATACGAACGTGTGCCATTTCACTTTGCCCAGTCTCAGACCCTCGAGTTTGTTAACTTGAATTTTATAATCCTTATTGCTGGTCGCCATATTTATTCACCGATAATAACCAAAACCAAACTGAATGATGTACGAACCTAACCTGTTTCACAGTTCACACGTGGACTGGGCCCATAACCTGTAATAATTCAAGTTAGGTGAAGTCCTTCCTTCTAGTTTGAAGACATCAAGAGACAAGGAAATATGTACTTTAGGAAATATGCACCAAAGACGTCTGGCCATCAACAATTATACTCTATTCCTTCTTACATACAGAACAATACAAAACTTGACTGACTGTAGTTTATATGACCTATTTTTGACATTACTCATTGAACTGTCAACAATGTTACTTCATATAGAACAACTATAGGGACAACATCCACTTTTTATGTTGGATATTGTAACAGAAATGGTGTAGGAATTCGACTAGAAAAGACGAAACCAGAGTATATAGCAATCAGATGGTTGGAAATCAGTCTGAAATAGATAAGAACAAAAAGTTGCTCAGTATTTCTTTTGTTATGAAACCTTTGAGTTTGTTTAGTAGTAATAGTTAAGATCCTTTTATTTTTCATTGTTCTATATGCATAAACGCATGAGAATTACTTAACAGTTAACAGAAAATGACACTGTTCTGTAAACTACTTTAGTACTTAAATTTATCACATTTTAAA